GAAGGGGCCAAACACGCAGTGAACAGAAGGAGCCCCAAACCCCCCTGCCCTTCCTGGGGGCCTCTCAGGACGCTTAGCATCGTCACCTTGTACCCCTCACCCCACTCCATGATGGGGCTACCTGGGGGCTTGACTGGATATACCTTAGTCCTCCCTACAGACCCTAGCTCCGGGCTAGCCTCTCTGTGAGCTCCCTTGGATGCAGTGTGACAAGAGTCCCCCCCTCCACCAGGTGGCCATCGACTTCACCGCCTCCAATGGGGACCCAAGGAGCAGCCAGTCCCTACACTGCCTCAGCCCCCGCCAGCCCAACCACTACCTTCAGGCCCTGCGCGCAGTGGGAGGCATCTGCCAGGACTATGACAGGTGGGAGGAGGGTAGGCTGGGGAGGAGGGAGACAGGTAGGGAGGCCTTGCCCGATGGGCCCCACAGCCTTTTCTTCTCCTCAGTGATAAGCGGTTTCCAGCGTTTGGCTTTGGCGCTCGAATCCCCCCCAACTTTGAGGTAGGCTGGGTTTAAGAGGAAGGGAGGATTTGGTGGGAGAGTAGGAGGAAAGACATCTCGCTGCTCTCACCTTACCCTCACAGGTGTCCCATGACTTTGCTATCAACTTTGACCCTGAAAACCCTGAATGTGAAGGTAAGAGGAGATTTTCGCCAGCCCCGCCTCCCCCCATACAGCTTGCACAGCCCGTACACCCCATGCAGGGGCACAGACTGCATCCTCACAGGCGCAGCCCCCTGCCCATCCCACCACTCAGCTCCTGTCTACCTGGGACTCTGGGCCCCTGGCCCAGCATCTGCCCAGCCTCCTCTCCCAGAGCCTGGACCATCCACCTCGCCCGCTTACTGAGGAATTTAGGGGGCCAGGCAGAACTGAGACAGGGAAGGACCTCCTTGCTTTAAGGGTGTCAGAAAGGGCTCCCTGCTAATCTCTGCTGGCCTCACCTCCTCGCCTACAGAGATCTCGGGGGTCATCGCCTCCTACCGCCGGTGCCTACCCCAGATCCAGCTCTATGGCCCCACCAACGTGGCCCCCATCATCAACCGCGTGGCCGGGCCAGCTCAGCGCGAGCAGAGCACCGGCCAAGCCACGGTGAGGAGAGGAAGCAGGCAACCAGGCGCTGCCCCACGGGGTGTCCTCCCCGGGGGGGTGGGCGGGGGGGCCAGGGCCAGGGCCTGGGCTTGGGGCGGGTGCCAACGCCCTTGCACACAGAGCGTACCCTTCCTCCCCCTGCCTGCCCTCAGAAGTACTCCGTGCTGCTGGTGCTCACGGACGGCGTGGTGAGCGACATGGCCGAGACCCGCGCAGCCATCGTGCGCGCCTCCCGCCTGCCCATGTCCATCATCATCGTGGGTGTGGGCAATGCCGACTTCTCCGACATGAGGCTGCTGGATGGCGACGACGGTCCCTTGCGCTGCCCCCGAGGGGTGCCCGCGGCCCGCGACATCGTCCAGTTCGTGCCCTTTCGGGACTTCAAGGATGTGAGTGCCCGGCGCCCCCTCCCGGCCGAAGGACTCCTCAGCTCCTCAGGCCCTCAAATCTGACCCGTCTCTCCCACACCGGGTTGGTGGCGTGCGGAGGACGCTGGAGCCCAGCCGGCCACCCCGAAGCCCCGCCCCCTTGCCTGACCCCTCCCCCCACTCTCCGGCCCGCTAACCCGCTAACCCTGTCCCCGCCCCCACGCCCAGGCCGCACCTTCTGCGCTTGCCAAGTGCGTCCTGGCTGAGGTGCCCAGGCAGGTGGTGGAGTACTACGCCAGCCAGGGCATCAGCCCCGGGTCTCCCAGGCCCTGCACACCGGCCACGACCCCCAGCCCTAGCCCGTGACTGCCTCCCACCGGACCAACCCTCCCTCAGCCTCTCAGTGAGTCCCGGGGGCCCAAAGGGGTGGACAGGGGTGCAAAGTGGGGCTTGGTGGAGCGCATCTGGGCTCGGTGTGGTGTGGAGGAAGGTGCTGATGACTATCCCACCCTGTCCCAGGTGCCTGTCCTGACCCTTGTGACTCGAGTGACCAGTGCCTCTCCCTCTTGGACCAGCTGTGGCCCCTAGGTCCTGGAAGTGCGTGGTGAGCCCTGCTCTTTCTCTCCAGGCCCCATACCCCTCAGCCTTGTGACTTTCTTCAGTGATCCTGACTTTCTGGTCGTTAATAAAGGGAACCACTCCTAGCACCTCAGCCTCTATCTATCATGCCTCAGATGTCCATGGACGGTCCATAACGCCCACCCATCCACACAAACACCATTAAGAAATGAGGACCAGCAACTTTCAGATCTGAGCCAGAGCTCCCACGCAGCCTGGTATCTCAGCAGTTTCACCCCAACTGTGTGCCAGTGGGATCTGAGGAGCCCCTACCCTCACCTCCCAACCCCAGGGGGCCCAGCACCATGGAGGTTAATTACCAGAGATGGGGGGTGGTGATGAGGGGCTGTCAAAGGGGCAGGTTGATGCCTTCTTACAGCTGTCTCTAGAGAAGCCCAGCTGAGTCCCCCAGGAGCTGCGCTCCAGCCCCCACACAGCTGTGGGGCGGGCCAAGCAGGGGTGTTGGGGGGACTGAAGGAGGGCAGCAGGTCTGTGAGTGGATTATGAACACAGAGGGGGCATCTGAGGTCTGCGCAGCCTGGTTTTCCTGAATGTGTGAATGTGCGCGTGTGTTCATGCACTGCACATCCCTGCCTCTCCACGAGTGTGGCCTTAATGTTTCAGAAAGTCAGGCTGTGTGCCCTTAATAACATTAACAACAGCAGTGAACATTATTGTTCACCATGTGTGAAACTTGGTGCTACGTGCTTTAAATGCATTCACTCTCACTAGGTAGTTAGCATCATTTTCCCCATTTTTCTTCAAATCAAGTGAGGCTTCATTTAAATCCACCCATCATCAAAGAACTGGTGAGCCTGGAAGTGAGCCCAGACCCATCTGACTGAAGTGCCCACACTCTAAATCACTAGTGTGCAACTTCTGTATGAGCCTCATCTTGAGCCCCAGGTGTATGTATACGTGGGCTGATTGTGTGTATGGGGGTAGGTTCCTGTGGATGGTGTCTCTGCCCGTGTGTGTGTGCTGTGCAGGGCCTCAGCCAGTTAAGGAAGGTGTGCAAGAGCAGTGCTGGGTCTGGATTGAAGCTCCGGAGAGCAGGTGAGAAGACAGGTGATATCCAGAGCCAGGGAAGAAAAGACAGGATCCTGGAGGGACCCTCCCTGCCCCAGCCTCTCCCTCAATGATGAAGGAGATGAAGGAGGAGAGACCAAATGTGCTGTGAGTCACTCAGCCAGAGCCAGAGAGGGTGGCCAATGGCCAGTGGTGGAGAAGGAGAGGAGAAGAAAAAGAAATCCTGGGGGAGATGGAGGAGATGCCTCCCATTGCAGGTTCCTGAGTGGAAGAGGGACGAGCTGGGCTAGAGGAGGGGGAGGAGGGAATAAGAACTGTGATGGGAAGAGACAGCTGGGGAGGGGGTGGATAGAGGGGGCAGAAAGGAAGAGAGACATATGGGAGCCTCTTCCCCACCCTCAACTGCTTCTCCCTATTTATTATGTCCCTTAGAGGACCTACGACAGTGGCTGGTGAGGTAGCTGCTCCTAGCTCAATGCCTCTGCTCTGCCCAGAGCCCCCGCCTACTCTCTCTGTAGGCAGATGAACCAGAGGGCTGGGTAACCATGGCAACTGTGGGACCTCAGGATAGCCATAGGCAAGCCTGGCCCAGTCACTGATGCTTCTGGGCTTCTGTGCAATGGTGGGAGGAGGAGGAGGCTCCATCTGGCCCAATCCCCACCCTTCCACCCCATTTTCATTGGCCCTCCGGAACTGAGACTCACCACACACACACACACACACACACACACACACACACACACACACTGGGAGCAAGGCTAAAGAATGAACACTTCTTAAATGGCAAGAACGTTTAGCCAATAGTATAAAGTTCTGCCTGAACTTCAAGTTTAATTCACAAAAACTGCATTCCTTCAGCATCTTGTCATACTGGGTAAAATCTCACCCCAGCCCTCAGCAAGGCAGGAGGTAGCAAGGGTACCCTATGCAGGTCTGGAGGCCAAGGCAGCCTGGAGGGAGCAGCAGAGGACCAGTGCGGGGGCTCATCCACTGCAGAGGCTGCAATCAGGAAGCAGGAGCAGGACAGGAAGTCCCTTCGGTGAGGTTGTCCTGGGGGCTTCTTGGGGAGACTCTTGGGGCTCCCACACCAAGGAGATGCCAGAACTGAAAAGGTGCCGGAAGTCTCCAACCCAGGATTAGAGGAGGTAACCAAAACCCAGGGAGCAAGTGGTTTTCTCAAGGTGACAGAGGTATCCCGTGGCAGAGCTGGGACTAGCACCCAGGTCCCCAGACTCCTTCCCAGAGTTCTCTCCCAGCCCACACCAACCACTCCCAGAGCTCCTCAGGCCTTTGCTGCTCTGGGCCCTGGAGGCCACCGGGTTGGGTGGGAGGAAAGCCTCTTGGATAGAGTTCCTAGTCTGTCTTGCTGTTGGTAACTGAGATCTTGAAAATGCAGTCGTCCTAAAATGGGGAGTTTCCAAGTCTCGGAATGAAAAGACGGCTTCATTGCTAATTACCGCCTTAATGCACTACAGGTTGAAAACCTTGAATTAAAATCTAAACTGAGGGGGAGTCACACCACTCCCTCGCCTCCCATTCGCTGTCACCCAGCCATCATCCACGCCTCCCCGCCCTCCCCCCCTCATCCACAGTGCCCGGCACTGGCTCCTCCAGATCTCGGTGTCCTGGTCATGTGGGGTGGAACAGAGGTGGAGGGTTCTGTGTGCTGCCTGCGTGAGGAGAGAAGACCTCCCTCCCAGAAAATGACCAGCATCTAACCTCGGAGCATGCCTTGAGGGTCCAGGAAGTTCGGGGATATTTATGTGTAGTCATACCACGGAGTGTCTGGCACCAGAAGGCGCTCAGTAACCATCTAGTGAACGGTACAGTGGCCTCCTGCGTGGTGCCCCCCCATCCCCCCCACGACACCCCTCGGCGGCCCCTAGCGGCTCAGAGGAAGAAGTGGGCGTGGTCCCCGGCCCCGGGGCCGCTCGAGGTCAGCCGGTCACAGCGAGCCTTGTAGAGGTCGCGCTCCCTGGCCAGGCGGGCCACCTCGGCCCGCAGCGCGTCCAGCTGGGCGGCCAGGCGGGCGCGCTCGGCCTCTAGCCCGCGCCGCTGCTGCAGCCGCTTGGAGCGACAGGCCTGCGCGTAACCGCGGTTCTTCAGCGTGCGGCGCCTCTGCTTCAGCCGCAGCGCCTCGTCGCGCCCGCATCCCCGCAGCTGCCGGTTGAGCTCCCGCACAGACATCGACACCAGCGCCGCGTCCGAAAACCGCTCGGCCAGCTGCAGAGGGAGCGGGCGGAGAGCGGGTCAGCGCCGGAAGCCCGCCCGGCTCCACCCTCGGGTCGCCTGAGGGACTGCCCCGCCCTCTGGGAGGCTCCGCCCCCGGCCCCAGCCTTACCTGATGATCGCCCTTCCACCGAATCCACCCCGCAGCCCAGACCCCGCCCCAGGTCCCAACAAGCCCCTCCTCCCCGGGGAGCGCGCGCCCCTTTGGGTCCGCCCCGCGCTGCAGGCCCCGCCTCCCGCGGTCCGGCGAGCCAGTCGCCGGTCGGAAACCCGCGTCAACCCTGCGCGGTCCTCAGCGTCCGGCTCCAGGTTCTCTTGGTGTCGAGTGGACACGCGCCCAGGCAGACCCCGCCCCGCCAATGCACCTCGCTCCCCTGTCCTGAAGGCCGCAACCCTGTGACCCTCAAAGGATTTGGATTACATCCTAATGCCCTCAACACCCCCATCTGTGTCTATAATTAATAGGATGAGTCCCAATCCTTCCTGAGAAGACTGGGGGCTGGGGAAGCACGATGTTTGAAAAGGCCAACCTCATTCCCGTTCCCACAGTCTCAACTCCACTCCATTCCACGCACAACTCTTTCCCTGGTTTCCACAGACGGAGTATATTTACCTCCCTGTAAAGAACCGCTCCCCATTAATTCTCAACTCTCCCCTTTTGGTCCTCTTCTAACCCTGTCTTCTCCCTCTTCCTCTTGGTTCTGACTACTCATTTCTCTCCATTTGGAAAAAGGGGAGGGAGCAGAAGGTAGTTTTCTCTGATTTCCTTCAAGGGCCCTTCTTTTCTCCTGCCCTCTGTCTCTTCCCCAATCCATAACCCTGTCCTGGAATTCTCCTTCCTCTCTTGGGCTGTCCCGCCTCACCCTGCCTCCCCTCAGGCCAACTCAGTGATCACTCACCTGGGCATGCTGCGCTCCTGTCTCCTCCGGGCTCCCTGGGTAGTAGCTGTGGGGCCCCTCGGTAGGGACTGGACCCTGACCCTGCAGCAGCTCCACAGCCTCCTCAGGACTCAGGCCCAGTGCCTCCCCAGCTCCCAGCTGCTGCTGCAGCGTGGCCAGCCAGTACAGCTCCTCCAGGCCTGGCCGGGGGCCCTCGGTAGCCCCCCCCATGCCTGGCTCACTGAAGGTGGGTGAAGGAGGCACTGAGCTGTAGGGTGTGGAGCCCAGTGAGGCTGTTGGGGGGCCAGATCGTCCCTCAGAGGGTTCCCGCTTTACCTCAAACTTCATCAAGTCAAAGTCATTGACATACTCCATAGCCAGTGGGCTGGGAGGCAGTGCCATTCTGGGGCTGGATTGGGAGGGGTGCACCTGCAAAAACAAAGGAGAGGTTTGGAGCACCTGGAGGCTGCCTGCCAGCCTCCTTCACCAGAACCTGCTTCTCCCAAAGCCCAAGTGCCCTGGAGAGCCAGAGTTCTGGAAAGCCCGGGTGATGGTGCAACTCTGTTCCCTAAAGAGTCACCTCTGGGCTGGAGCAACTTTTCGGGTGGCAGGGGCTCCTAACTGGGGGCAAGCAGCTCAGAGGCCTAACTGGGGAAGAGGATAGATAGCACAGCGTCTGGCCCCACTCGTGCCTCTGGGAGCTGTGAAAAACAAGAGGAATGTGGCAGTGCTCCCAACTCTGGTGCTGGGACATACTGAGAGGCTCTGTCATCTCAAGAGACATCATTTCATTTCCAAGCAATCAAAAAATTTTGCTTAATTAACTGTGACAGAGTATGTGTCTATTTTAGGACAATGGGAAGGCATGTATGCCGTGAATTTTAATGTATGAGGATAACAAGTTGTTATACCTCTCTCAGAACACCTAGATCGATGCCTTAAACACAGAAGGTCCTCAGTGCACATCTGTTCTATGGGTTAATCAATCAATTAATCCCTTTTATAGGAGCATGAGACTTTGCAAAGACAAAAGAAAGGTCCTAGAATCGGTTCTAGAAAGATCAGGACTGAGTGGTGACCTTCTTTCCCCAAGCCAATCTCTCCAAAGGGAACCAACTAAAATTGTTTTCCTCCTTCTATCCAGAACCTGCTATGTTGTGTGAACTTGGACAGATCACCTCCCCCTTTCTGACCCCAGTTTCCCTTTTTGTTCAATAAGGCAGTTAGACTTTACCATTTCCCAGGGAGTGTTCTGGGAAACCCTAAGTCTGAGAAATACCCAAGAGGAAGTCAATGCTCAGATAATTTTGAGAAATGCTCCCTCCCATCCCCACGTTCTGCAGATTCACAAAGCACAGCAGCATATTAATCTGAGAAGTCCTTCAGTAAACCATCTGTTCAACCTCAACCCAGAGTGTCCCAAACTTATGTCACCAAGGAGCTCTCCTCCCTGTTATCAACCACAGAGTGTGCGCTCACCTGAGGAACCTCAGGCTAGGTAAACTCAGAGATCCTTCCCAGCCTGGAACTCCCAAGCTCTAGCCCAGCTCCCAGTTCCAACGGCCCCATTGCCAGCCCCCTGAAGGGGCAAGGCAGGGAGTGCTCATCCCCAGGGCTTGGCATTTGGCTCCATCTTGACACCTCAAGCCTAGGTAGCCCTCTTTCTAACGACATCTCAGACCCTCAGGCTCTGCCCAGAGAGGTGGGGGGGAAGGACGAGTCTTTCGCTCTTCCTGTCCCAGGGAAGGGTTGTTGCCCTATCTATTGAGCCCCTCACCCTTGAGAGGACAGGGGTGGTAGAAACAAAGACACAGATTGAAGGAATGATCCTTGGCAGGGAGGAGATGGCGAAACACTGAGAGAGGCATCCAGAGAGAACTGAATGAAGAGCTAAGTGAGGAGGGTTATTTCTCTTTCTGCCGTGATAGCCGTGAGGGACATAAAGCCAGTCAGAGTGGGAGTGGGGCAGGGGACAGAAGTGTGAGGATTCTTGAAGATAGACAGCAGAGAGCAGACAGCAGGTGACAGAGGAGGAGGCTGTAGGTGAGAGGCCTGGCATGCAGGTAGGCCCTGAATATACTCACGAGGAGGATGGTAGAGACGATGTGCTCAGTGTCAGAGCCAGGCAGGCACAGCGTCCCCTGAGACTGGAGACCCCATTGAGTGGGGCCTGGTGCCTCTGCGCTCAGAACAAGGCGCTGTGGGCACCAAGCCCACAGGACACTCTTAAAGGGCCAGCGCTCTGAGGTCATCTGTGGTCCTCAGGCCTCTAGCCAATGAGGTAAGGGGATCATTTGCATATCTCATTGGCCTGGGGGGTTGCGGGGAATGAGAAGAGGGGAGAGGACAAGTATGCCTGTTCTCAAGGAAGGAAAGGAGGCATCTTCCCCAACAAAGCTCCTTACTGATGGTCCGTCTCGCAGATGCTCAGTCCCCCGGTACAGAAAGCGGCTTTGGCCTGGCCAGCCACACTCGTGTGAACACCACCCTCAGCCCTCAGCGACTGAGAGCCTGGGACTGGAGGAGAGGCCCAGAGAAGCTCCCAGCGCCCTCACCCTCCAACGCTCGACAGCACCGTGGCAGTGTTTGCGGGAGTCCAAGCGGTCCTGAACCCACTCCGACCTAGCCAGTTGGGTCTGTTTCCTGTGCTCGGGAATCCTCACATTTCTGTCCCCTTCCTCACTCCCACTGTGAGGCCCCACGCCCCTCACAGCTATCGTATCAGAAAGACAGGCACCCGTCCCCTTGGTGAATGTCCAGAACTTGGCCACCCAATCCTCAGCCTCTCCCACTCTTGCTGACCCAGTCCCGGGACAGGCTGCCCAGCTCAGAAGAAGGAGCAGCAGAAGGGAGAGTGGGGATCTCTGCTCCTTCCTTCCGGGCCACCTCGGGACACGGAAATCTAATCACCACCAATCCATCCGAGACACTTCTGTAACTGCCCTCACACACCCTCTGCTTCCCCTCGCCTTTTCCCTGCATGTATCTCTGCCCCTCTCTCTTCCTCTCTCACCATCCTGGTTCCCAGATGGCTGGGGGGTGACCTACATTTTCAGCCTAATCCCTTAACACCTCTTAGAGCTCTCATCCCTGAGTAGAAGTTGGAAGGGGGATACTAGGAATTAGCTAAGGAGGTGTTTAAACCTGTCTGAAGCTGTTTAAAACAGGGTGTGTGCTAGAATAGAACTCCAGGAGTTAACGGCTATTCCTTACCTGGTGAGGATACCCAAACGTGCCCATGGGGTTAACAGGCCCTCTGTCCCAAGTCAGAGAGAGACCTAGGTGTCCATCAGCCCCAAGGATCAACAGTTATAAAATTAACCTGGTCCCAACTGGTGGATTCAGATGAGAACAGTAGTTCTCAAAGTATGGCTCCCCCAACCAGCAGCAGCATCTGGGAACTTGTTAGAAATGCATATTCTCTGGCCTCACCTCAAACCCACCGAATCAGAAACTCTGGGGATGGGATCCCCCAAAATCTGTGTTTTAATAAGCCCTCAGGGGACTTTGATGAACACTGAAGTTTGAGAACCACTGGTCTACAGAATATCTACAGTTTACACAGCTTTCTCTCTCTCTCTCTCTCTCTCTCTGTGTGTGTGTGGCCTCTCTTACCATGCTCAGTACACACATATAAGAAGACCTAGATCAAATGACATCACCCTCTTCCCACATCTGTCCTGCATTTCGTGGAGCAGAGACCATTGTCATGATTTAAGTAGTAAGGCTTCTCAGTGTAATTGCTTGGATCTAGCTGTTTTTGCAGAAGAACCAAGGCCTGGGAACAAGGCCACAGATGGGAATGGGGATCATGGAGACAGGGAATCGCACACACATCCACGGAATGTGGCCTTGAGGCACATAGCCAGGAAAGAGTGCCCAGAACTTCCTGAGTTGAAGAAGGAGTGCGAAGTGTTGAATGCAGCCCCTTTCTCGTGCCTGGCCTGGCCAGACACTTGCTCCCAAACAGCTGTCAGGTCTGTGCTGATCTTCTTGTTTACTGGAGGGCTCAAAGGAGAGGTGGGGGAGCTAAGCTGCTAACGGGCTAAAAGAGTCAGACTAAACAAGCTCAGGCAAGCTGAGCCGCTCAGGGCTCAGACCAGGTGCCACTGACTAGGGAAAGGAGTCCGGGCAGTGAGGGCTGGGCCAGAGGAAAGGAGCAAGGGCACAGAGAGGAGAGGCCGTGGCAACCAGTGGGGCCCCGGGAGGTGGTTAATGGGCCCTTTCGGTGGGGGACCCAGAGCCTGGGAGATGCACACTGAGAGTGACTGACTCCAGGACATCTGGGGACAGGGAAACAGGAGTGAAAAAGATGACGCCAGGTGGACCGCAGAAATGACGGAACAGAGGAAGGGAGGCAAGAAGGCTTAGCGGAAGGGGCAGTAGGTGTCAACCTGGGATGGAGGGCAGAACAAGCCGGGGGCTCTCCAAGGATTTGTATTTGAGGAGTTGGAGCGATGTAGGCCCATGGAAGAGGTGGGCAAAGGGCCACTGAGTGGCAAACTAAAAGAGAGAGGAAGTCTTCTGGAGAGGACCAAGAAGGGAGTAAGGAGTAACAAGAGGGGGTGCTAGGAGCAAGGGACCAGAAGAGCAATGGCGGTAGAAGGAAGGGACAGAGGAAAGTTAAGACTGGGGACCAAGAGCTAGAAAGAAATACAGAGGAACAGACAGATGGATGGTCAGGCCACAGAGGAGGCTCAGTGGCCAAAGGACAAAAAAGGAGAAAGATATAAACAGAGGGATGTTGGACAATTGGGGGAAGAGGGCCAGGCAGGTGAAGGGCCAGGAGAATTGGGGTACGAGACAAAGAGAGAGGAGAGGAGACACAGTCAGTAAGCCAGAGTGCCGTCACTGACTCCTCCGTCCTGCACTCCCATTTTCGGAGCCCGTTAGACCCTGTAAGCCCCATAAGTTCTGGCTTTTGGCATCTGGATCTTCAGTAATGGATCCAAATCTTCAAACCTCTTCCTGATCTACCTGGTATGTTCATTTGGCAAGTGTTTTTGGTTTTTTTTTAAGATTTTATTTATTTATTTGTCAGAGAGAGCAAGAGCACAAGCAGGGGGAAGAGCAAGCAGAAGGAGAAGCAGGCTCCCTGCAGAGCAGGGAGCCGGATGTGGGGCTCGATCCCAGGACCCTGGGATCATGACCTGAGCCGAAGGCAGATGCTTAACTGATTGAGCCACCCAGGCGTCCCTTGACAAGTGTTTATTAAGCACCAGGCACTGTGCTAGGCCTTAGGGACACCCCAGTAAAGACTGACACCAGCCCTGCCTTCATAGAGCATACAGACTGATGAAACAGGGAAACATCAATTTATTGCCCTTAGACCCAGGCAAGAGTGGCCCCTGCCTTGGACCCTGTGGTTTTGGAAGGTTCCATTCTGGCTGTGTCCCACCCCA